GGGGGGGGGGGGGGGGGAGACAGACAGAGAGGGAGGAAGAGAGAGAGAGAGAGAGAAAGAGAGAGAGAGAGAGAGCGCTCAGAGACCCCTTGACCCTGCCCCTTGTGAGCCATAGGAGGGAAATTCCAAAAGGCCTTTCAAATCTTTCTCTTCTGTCTTTGAAATGTGACATGCACTTTTCCTTACTCTCCACCTTTCATTTTTCCTCTTTCTTTTTGTGACTCTCTAAAAGATACCTAAGCAATGAGAACAATGAGTTGTTTCATTTCAATTTGTGGAATGAAATTTAGCAGATGAACCAAGCGCAATTTTAGAAGCAGTACTGACCTGGGAGATGGGATCTCAGTTTTTACCACTCCAGGCTGGTCAAGTCACTTGGTTAAGGCGCTTAGTTTCGCTGAACCTCAGTTATAAAAGAACTAGACCCTCCTTAGCTCTGTGAAAAGAGCAGCCTGTATGGGGTTCACTGAAACATTTCCTTCCAGATACCCAGGATATACTATAGAAATTCAGGAAGAAAGGCAGTATGTGTGAGTGTGTGTGTGTGTGTGTATGTCCAGAGATTTATGGGAAGGTTGGACATAGAAGTCATTTTTTCAATGGGCAAAATTATTAATGAAGAGAGTTTTCTATGTTAACTTCTATATCTATCCAGACCTCTCAGGTGTTTCATTTCTGCTGTCTTCAGGTATAATGTGAGTGGCCTCACCTTACTTGTCCCTGTGCTTGCCTTGTGCCTGATCTACTCTACCCATGTCTTCCATCCAGAATTAGGTAGTAGAAGGAATCATAATCTCACTGTTATTGTTACGTGGTTAGGAGTATTTTAATCCTTTACAGAATAGGTAAAAATTCAATTGCTAAAAAATGTGATTGGCAAATAGCCTTGCCCTCTTTTCTTCTTTCCTTTATGATTACTCTTAGTAATTTGTACTCATTTGTATTATTCATAATTCTAGAGAGGAAGGAAGCCAGGAGTATGATAATCTTCTCCTTTAAGAGCTGATAAATCATGGGCTGGGGATTTAGCTCAGTGGTTCTGCTGCCTGCTTCACAAATGCAAGGTCCCGAGTTCAATCCCCAGTACAAAAAAAAAAAGAGCAGATATGTCATAAATGATGGAGTAGAATGTGATGAGTAGAATGATCAAAGGCAGAAAGGGTTATATCAAGAGAAAGTAGAGGAGCCTCCAGTGGCAAAAACACCTCGAATTTCATGTTTGAGTTTATCACTATGATCTGATTGACTAAACTTTTTTTCCTTTTGGGGGGCTAAACCTTACTAAAGGTTACCTCATTCCTCTGGAAGCAATCATTTTAATACCTTCACGGAACCCTCACCTGCAAGCATTCGTTTTAAGAATATTTATACCTTTCACTTTTCTCAAAGCAAGGTAGTCGCCAGAAGGGTGAACCCTTGGGACAGTGAGTCTTTTCCTTGAACTGTTTGCTTTTTCATGAGGAAGGAGTAGAGGAAGCATCTTCAGTACCTATAGGTAGCATTTATTCTTTTTTTAAAATTTAATTTTATTAGTACATGTTTGCAATTCATGCAGTTTACAATCATCTTGGGGAGTGGTTACATGTACATCTTACTGCTTGTTTTTTTCCTAATCCCCTTCCCCTTCCCTCCCGCTCTCCCCCCGCATTCCCCTATCCTCCCTTTTTTTTTATCTTTATTTTTTCCCCTATCCCCTTTTTTGTACCTGTTGATATTATTTGTCTATATATTATGGTGTATAGTGTTTACACTGACTGGGGTTATTAGGATCCTGTACATGGCACATCTTTATTCCTCTCTTTTCCCCTCCCCGCCTCCTCCTCACTCCTCTTCTTGTTCCCTTATTCTTTCATTGCCTGTAGCAGGGACAATCTGTTATGTAGATTTCTGTGCTAAAAAGAAAACATTGGAGCGATAATGCACCAAGAAATAGTTATCTCAGGCCATGGGATTATGAGAATGACTCCCTTTTTTTCTTGGTTGTTGTTTTTTATGCTTTTCTGTATTTTCCAAAATTGTTATAATTAATTAAAAATACCTAAAAAATATACAATGTTTACCAGTTCTATCAGGAGAAAATTATACTTGTGCACACAGGTAAAAGAAATGCAAGCATACTTTGATGTTTCTCAGCAGTGATGCTACAAATATATTACAGTAAATAAATGTCCAAAATGAGAACAATGATCCCATGATTCTTCTCATTCCTTTTTTGTACTGCAGATCGAACTCTGGCCCTTGCACTCTTCTCATTCTGTACAGGTAATTGCAGTACCCATTTGGTGGGTTCAGATGGTTGTTGGCTCCTAGATGTGTTGCTTGGATCCTTCTTTTTGTCTTCCTGCAGAAGTAGTTACTAATCAAATGTTTCAGTGTTTCAAGAAAACTGTATGTTAATGGTTCTCTTTGAATGGGGAAGACTCTTTTTGAAGCAAAATAATTATCCTCTAATTTTTATAACTTTAGATGGTGGTTGTGATTTAGTGTACCAAGTTTTCACCTAAAAATGGCATTCAGCTCAGAGTCAGTATCTTGAGAAAAACACATTTGATGGCATTAATATTTTCAGTTGTTGATATTAGTTTCTCATCATGAAACTGCTGTCAAAATGAATACAATTCTATACACTTGGCAGTCTTGCCTAAAAGCAAAACCCAAGACTGGAATAGCAAGAATTCATAGGTCAAGACAGAAGGGTATTTGGCAGAGTTAGTCATAAGGAAGTCTGCCTGGTACACTTTACCAAAAGTAGCTCCCATTGCATTGAAGCCCCAATGTTTCAGTCACTGCAAAGAATGACTAAACCGTAGTCCCATCCAAAAGAGCTAGGAAAAATTGTACACATTGAAAACATGGGCTTTAACAACATTAACCAATTAATTTCAAATCACTCATAATGGTAAAGCTGTCTTCATAGGTATAGTTAATTTCTCACAGAATTATTTTGCCTAAAATGAATAACTAAATGTGTTCATTTACTGGTTATATTTTATAAGATGGAAAAATTTCAAAGCTAGAAGTGACTGTAGAACTTAGTTAGTTCAACCCTTTCAAATTATACATGAGGAAACGGAGGCCCAAATCACTTACCGAGTTAGAGAGAGAGTCAACCCTCAAGTGTTTAGATTTCTTTGCCATTGAGCAAGCATTATTAGTTCTAAGTTCTTTCTGCCAGTGTAAATAATGTTCCTTGATTCTAAATTTTGTTTTTCAGGAATTGGAAGAGGTGCCTAAAGAAATGGATGCTCAAAGAAAACACTGGGAGGAGAATATGTTTGTGCCTCTCGTTGATGCAAAGAATGTTCCAGAAGAGGTTTCCCAGCTTGAATTTTCTTCTGAACAAATAGCTGTAGATAAGACCAAGAGAATGGACGGAATTTATAATTTCTCCAGTAGAAAGTTTCCAGAAGAAAATAAATGTAAGAGGAAGGAATATATTTCCCAACTAAATCAAAGAGAACAAGAACCAAATTTAAGAGAGAGAGGGATAAACATGTCAAGGAATGAAGCAGGCACAAATTCTGCCTCCTGCAAATCATATAATTTTGATGTTGTGAACAAAGAAAGTTTTAACAGAAGAGGAGATCCCTCTACCTGGTGCAAAAAGGAATTACCAAGTGTATTACTGCAAGCTAGGAGGAAGAAATTGACCAAAGGAATGGCCCCCAAACTTAACCTGAACCTTTTGAATGAAGAACTGGAAGAACTCAATATGAAATGCAGAAAAATAGAAGAGGAATTTGAAAATGCTGAAAAAGAACTTTTGAACTCTAAACTAGAAGTCTCCACAAAATCCCTAAATTTTCAAAAATCGAGGACAGATACTTTGAAAAAAGACGGGGAACTTCAAGCTTTAAAAAATGACCTATCTGAAAAAACAACAGATGTTAAAAACTTAACTGAAGAGCTCCAGCAAGCCAAAGAAGTCATCGACAAGTTGAATCTAGAGAACCGAGATTTAAAACAAGCTCTTAAGAAGCTAAAGCATCAAACTGAACTAGGAAATGTGCTCCTGAAAGAAGAAATGAAATTGTATTATGAATTAGAAATGGAAAAGATTCGTGGTGAGCTCGATGCCATCAAGAATGAACTGAGAGCTGAGAAGATCCTGCAGGCAAGAAATAACAGAGCCCTTGAGTTGCTTAGGAAACACTTCGCTTGGATGATCAAATCATCAAATACCTTTGATAACTTTTCTGGGGAACTTTTGTAAACTTAAAAAAAAGCCTTTCCTTAGACTAGTGATTGAGCCAAAACAATGTTTATTGTACTACTTTGTGTATTATTCAAAATGTATGTAATAGAATATAATTTTCACTGAATCAGAGTATCTGTAAAACATATAGATGTTACCTCCAAAACTTCTGTTTCCTTTTTTTTTTTTTTTTT